CTACCATTAACATGCTATATGACTTTGCACATGTCACTTTACCATTCTGGGCCTCAACATAACAGTCTATAAAATGTAAGGGTTGAATTAAATGATTTTTAAGGTATTTTTCAGTTCTAAAATTACATAGTCATATTTCTTTTATTGATAATCAAGCCAAAAGTAAAATATGCCGTAAAAGGATCTGTAACTTGCTTAGGGCATAGAAAAATTTCAAAATATCGTATGTCAAACATTGTGCTAGATGATTTAAACATTACAATAGAGAAAGACAAAAAAAAATATCTGCCACCCAGGCCCTAGGAAGACACTAATTTATTCATCTCTCACTAGTTCTATCTAAAAGAGGATTCTACTGCAAAGTGAAAAAATTTTCACTCTTGTACCATACTTCTAGAAAATCTACACCTAAGATTCTAAATGTGAACGCATGACTCAAAAGGCTTTGCTGTGTCCTAAAAGGTTTGATTTTTTTTTCTTTAAAGAAGTAAGAAAGATAAGCAATTACAGACTCTTCCATGGGGGTTTGGAAGGTAAAAAAAAATTTTAACTTTTTTCCCCCAATTAACAAGCATTTATTTTCTTTCCTTCTCATCTTACCTACTTAACCAAAAAAGAAAGAAAAAACCGGCTCTTAAAACAAATATGCATATTCAACCCAAACCATTCCCCTACACTGGTCATGTCCAAAAATGCGGTCTCATTCTGCATCTTGAATCCATCACCTGTCTGTCAGGAGGTGGGTAAAAGGCTTCAGATAAAATATTTCAATACAGAAAGCTAAGTATAGCAGTAAACCCACGCTTAAAATCTTTTATCCTTTAAGAGAAATAGAAGGGAAAAAAGATAGTCTAACAGAGACCTGAAGGGCAACTTGCCTCACTATATTCAGTTAAGAATGCCCTATTTTCCACTACTAAGTATGAATAATAATGGTTAAATCTATTTTTCTAAGAAGATCTCTTATCTCCCCTTAGGCTTGGCTGAAATTTTTTTTAGAAGGCCTAATGGAATTGCTTTTTATGAGCAAGTCAATAGAGATCCAACGTGTAGCTTCAGTCAATGTGAAAACCATGGTGTATTGAGGACATTACAGTAGTCACACAAATCCTTTTTATATATCCAATATGTGCTACATACATATGCCATAGATCCATATGTGCCTACAGCAAAACCAAATTGTGCTTAATAAAAGCTAAGTGGAAAACTGTACTGAGCTAATAATTTCCATGTGAATTTAAGACATATCAAATATGAACCTTAATGATGACATTATTGAACTTGTGGTGCAATCGTTCAAATGGATACATCAATAGGCACCCTCTGTGTGCAGGGTGCTGAGCTATGTGCTATAAGGAAACATTTCATCTAATTGAGAGGACAAGTCAAACACAAAGTTAAATAATAAAAGATTAACAATTCAAGGCAATGATAGAAGAGCCATCACAAAGCAATCCGTGATTAATTGTCACATGAACTGTACAGACAATAACTGTTACATTAGAGGGAGAAATGCATTTGTCTCTGTTAATGACATTTCTCACCATTCTCAGTCATTTCTCAGTCCTCAAGTTTAATCTGTCACAAAGCCCAGTCCATACTCAGAAATGCATCTCCCATTAGTCTTCTGACAAATTTATGCTGTCTAACCTCAACTGGACTTTTACGTTTATAATGCAATTATTTTATTCTTTTAACTTTCTAAATCTTAAGGATAGAAGTAGGACCTATGACTTCACTGGTATAAAGCAGGGCTTCTTAAACTTTTTATACTCACAGCCCTTCAGCGCTCCTTAAACTGTGGATGAAGAAACTCCCTCTTAATTCAGGGTTTAGCATCTTTTCTACAATTTAATTTAATTCTCTTCAGAGTTACTTAGAGCACTGAAGGTTTAAATGGCTTGTTCAGGGTCACATACCCACTATGTATCTATCAGAGGCAGGATTTGAACTCAGGTCTTTCTAGCTACAAAGTCAGCTCTCTACCTCATGCAACACTGCCTCTATTTAAAGAGCCTGAGACATGAACTGATATCAGTTATTGTAACAATTATTACAAATGTCCTCTTCTCAATTCTCCATCCACCCACCACTAAGCAGATAGCTGGCCTCCCAATTTGACCAGTGACAGTAAGAGCCCAGCCCTTGAGAATCCCTTCCACCACTATAAACTTCTCAATTCCTTCCCTATTACCTTTCCTTTCTGTCGCAGAGGAAGAGGTTGTTGTTCTTCCCGGGCAAGTCACGAAAAATCAATCTTCTCTTAGCTCCTCTTCCATAATCTTACCCTCCTTAACAGCAAAAATATTCAAGTTTGCCTGAACCTAAAAAGCTTTTCCTGGACCCTATTATTATTTTCTCTGTTTTGTCATTCAATGACAAACTTAAAGAAAAAGGATGCTATTATTCATTGCCTGCACTTCTTCCCTCCCTATTGACTCCTCAAACCCCAGCAATCTAGCTTCTTACTCCCACCACTCTACTGAAACACTTCTTTCCAAAAGTACTTATCCTTAGGAAGGCAGCCTAGCATAGTTGATCTAATAATTTGAGCTTGGGAGTTACAAAGGCTTGGACTTAAATACATCCAAATTGAGCAAGTCTCTTACAAAAATTTAAGCCACGATTTCCTCAACTATAAAATGGAAATAAAAGTGGTACCTCACTTGTGATTGGGAGGCTATATAAATGCTAATTAACATTCCAAGAGCTAATGGTCTTTTTGGTCTTCATCCTCCAATACCTTGTTCACCATTGTTAAATATCCCCTCAGACATCCTCCTCCTAAACCTTAAATGTGGGAGGTTCAGTTATTTGCCAATTAATTCATCTCTTCTCTCTACACACATTCAAGCCTGTGTTCCTCTTCCCAGGCTTCAATTATGCTCTCTACACAAATAACTCCCAATTATTTATCTTCACCCCCAACTGCTCCACCACCTCCATACAATCTCTTATTTCTAACTGCCAAATACCTCAAATGTCCAAAATGAAATCATTTTCTTCACTCCAAAACCTTCTGACTAATCTCTAATAGAACTACTACCCTGCCAGTCACACATCTATAAATTGTGAGGCATTTGCCTCTTTATTACCCCCCTATTTCCCATATTTAATCAATCAGTTGCCTGGACCTGTTAATTCTTCTTTGAGAAAAATCTTTTTTTTTCCCCCAAATATTGATGTGGGTACTACTTCGGCAAATGCGGAACACAACAAATCTACAATTTGGTAGATGATTTCATGAGTTATTATGAACAAAACAAAAATTCACCACCTGTGGGCCAACCTTTTGATAATGAGGCTCTCTGAATTTAGTTAGGCTGTTATTACACTAATACAGAGCTGCCCATCACCATAACCCTGCCTTCCATCTTGACAAGAACTGCTAGGGCTTCAACTCCATTGAAACAGCCTTCAAGAACACAAGCACTTCCAAACTATTATAAGGCAACAGAATAGAATTTGAATCTAACACGTATGTCCACTCCCACTATAACCACACTAAGGTAAGGCCTCAAATCTTCTCAACAAGACTATTATCAGAGCCTCCTAGCTATTTATCCTAATATATCCTTTAAATATCTGCCAAAATAATCTTCCTAAAACGAACTGCCCTGATCACTGCATGCCCTCAATCAAAAACCATCCTCATTATTAACTAAAGTAAAAACTTCTGAACATGGCACTCTAAGCTCTTCTCAATCTGGCTTCAAACTACCAGTTTTTTTAGCCTTTCCCCCTACTAATCATCTTCTCATATTCCCCGCTCCAGACCAGCTCAACTACTCTCAATCCCCAAATGAAAGAAGCCAAATTCATTTCATATGCCATTACTACCCCTAGATTAGACTCCTCCTTTCCCCAGCACCCATCCCATCTACATCTACAGAGGTCTCTCCTTCCCTTCTCGGTCCAATTGTGTAGTACCATCTATGTCTTTAAATATTCCCAGACACTGTTCCTTTCCCACCCCATTCCCTTCCATTAAAGTAATCTTTCAATCATAGTAATAAAATAAATGTTTTACTTTACAGATTTTTATATTTCCATATTACATTTTTTAAAATTTTACATATTTTAATCAGTAATCACAGCACCTTTACTGGAATTCTCCTTTGTACACATCCTCCCAGGTATCAGTCATTTGGGCAGGTGCCCCGCCCCCATTAGCTGATAAGCTCCTTGCAAGCAGGGAATGTACCCTCTCCTCCCTCCCTCTGCATCCCCCAAGACTGATGCATGGCCCAGTTACTAAGAATCACTTCTATCCAGAAAGGCATAGTTCAACCGTTCCAGCCCACGCAGCTCAACTCCTATGGAGCTTATTGTCTGCATCACGCTCTTAGTGCTGTTTTCCACAGTCCTTCAATCATCATGTCTCAACACCTAGACTGCAAGCTCCTTGAGGATAGGTTTCACATATATGTCATACACACGTATGTGTGTATTTTTTTTTAGCACCCTCCTCTGGGTTAGGTAGATACCAGGGAAGCAGTAAAAATGCTTGCCCCTTCATAACTGAAAAAGAGGCCCAGGTTGAGGGTAAAGAGGGGGAGAGAAGAAAATGAGCAGAAACCAATCACCACCCCCTTAAAAAAGAAGAAGCTAGAGGATGCGTATTTGGAGAATATAACAGCGCTCCAGCCTTGGAGACCACAAGACTGGAGCCCCCAACCTCTATTTCAGAAAACAAGTCAGGTTTAGGGACGGACGACGGCGATCGGAAGAATCAAATACGCCCCGCCTTAAAAAAAATACACCCTCCCCCCAACACGCACACACACAAATACAAAGAGATAAACAATCCCCGTCCCCGCGAGTCCGAGGATGCCAGGTGAGGAAGAGCGGGTCCACACCGCTCCAACCCCACCCCCACCCCCCGCCGCATTTCTGGTGCGGGTTGAGGCCGGAGAGGAGCGGCGGCGCGCCGGGGCCTCTCCGCGCCCCGACTCCCGGCACCCCTCGAGAGCCCCGGTGGTCTGCGGCCGGGCGCTCACCTGCTTCGTCAGGAACCTGCCGAGCTCGCTCCGGCTCTTTTCGTTCCTGGCGGCGAGGATTCGCAGCGGGGCGGCCGCCAGATCCAGCTGCAGGTGCTCCATGTCCCTGGCAGCCGCTTCCCACCCAGCCCACCCACTCCAGCAGCCCGCTGCCCTCCGCCTGACGCGATTTCTCAGGCTCCCCTCCACAGCGTGCGCGTTAATCCTATAGCACCGCAGCCGCGGCACTGCCACCGCCCCCAAGGAAAGCACCCGCCGCGGCTTCTGGGCAGCCGCACACGTGCAGCGAGCACGCGGCCCTCAACGTCATCTGCCGGCGACGGCGACGTGAGGCGACAGCAGTGCCTCCACCCTTTGAGGCGGGGTGGGGGAGGGGCGGAAAGGTGAACTTTGGGCGACCGAAAGGCCGCAGGCGCTGTTGACCGGGAGGATGGAACCAAAAGCTGGGCCTGACCACAAGTAGACAAGGAGGCTGGATAGAAATCTCTGAGCAGCTCAACGAAGACTAGTGTTCGCCCGACAAACAGGGCCGACTCCGGAAGGTGCAGTGTACGATGGGACATGTAGTCTTTGCAAGCTACCCTCGGCCCTTCCCTGCGAGGGCTGATTTGCGGGAGGTTCGTTCGCCTCTTCAGGCAGTAAATGGGCTAGTCGATATGTATCAAAGAAGAGGTTGCAGGGGTAGCGGATCGAGAACTGGCCTGAGGCGGGAAGACCTCTTATTAATGATTTCAGATAGCAGCTTTCTTCCCAAGAGCACAAAGTGCTGTCTTCCCCTTTCATCAGTTTTAATTGTATTACTGTCTTTTATTTTTACATTCCCTGCATTTCCTCAACACATTGCTTCCACCTCCCCCTCCCAGCAATACATCTCTTTGCAAAGGATTTGTAAAAGAGAAAAAAAAAAGTTCAGCAAAATTATCCAACACATCAACCATGTCTGATAGTAAATGTTCAGGTTCCCCCGCTCCCAGTCTCTGGGGGCAGAAAGACCCAGTTTCCGATTTTTCCCAGAGGCTCAAAGATCTGGGTTCTAATTTTTTTTTTTTTTTGGCAATTAGAGTTAAGTGAACTTGCCCAGGGTCACACGGCTAGTAAGTGTCAAGTATTTGGTCCGAGGCTGGATTTGAACTCAGATCCTCCTGACTTCAGGGCCGGTCCTCTATCCCCTATACCACCTAGCTGCCCCCTGGGTTCTAAATTCTATAGGCGGAAAGATCTGGGTTCAAGAGTCTTTGTGACCCTGAGCAAGTCACTTAAATACCCCAGGTAGGACATTGCGATACAAGCCCGAAAATGTAGCTAGCACTTGATAGGACATATTTTTAATTCAATGTAGCAAACAGTTATTAATACTCAAGATATTTTTTAATTAAATATTGACTGGAGCGAGCTTAAGTTTAAATAAGGCAGGTTCCCTCATGGAGCTTACAAGCTTGGATTCAATTGTCATATCTTTGAGGAAAAAGAACACTTTGCTCAGTCAGGATACTTGAGTTTTCACCTTTGCTTAGTGCACACAAGGTTCTGTCTTTTACTCATCTAACACCCACTATGTGTTAGGTACCCGCGAAGAAAAAAAGTGCAGATATATGTCCCCTTCTCTCCTACAGTTTAAAAGCTAGTAAGAATGTCTGAGGTACCTGAAGATAACTACACTATACAATACAGAGCACCAGGGGAGGCTTCGACTTTTGGGTTCAAATCCCACCCCTGAGAGTGTGACCTTGGGGCAAGTCACATCCTCGGTGTGCCTCAGCCAACTACTTTGGAGGGAGCTCCAGGTAGGAGCTTCTCTTACCTATGAAATCACAGCTCCTTCATGCATTTTCACAGTTGTCTTAAAAATCATTGGAGATCATTAGAACTGGAAAACAAACCATTGGAGCTGGAAGGGATCTTAGTCCAACCATCATATTTTACATATAAGGAAACTGAGGCCCTGAGAAGTGAATGAAGATGACATAGGGAGTAATTTAAACTCATTTCCCCTGCCTCCAAATCCAATTTGCTTTCTACCGCATCTCATTGTTTCCACTTTCACCAGGCAAAGTCAAGTAATTGTTGTGTGAGGTGTGAAGCAGCTGGTCATGGTGGGGAGGGGGCTGGGAATTAAAGAAGGCTTCTCTAAGAGGAAATTTACCTTTGTAGATTGCTAGACCAGGAGTTAGAAAGACTTGGATTCATGTGTCAGAAAGACTTGGATTCAACTCTCACCTCTGTCATTTTTAGATATGTGGCCAAAGATAAATTACTTGACCTCTGTATAGTTTCTGCATATATAAAATGGAAATTTTAGAAACAGGGTAGAGGTGAAGCTCAAATATGAATGTAATTTGCCTTCTCAATGAAGGCAGCAGGAAAAAAGGGAAGAAAGGTGATAATTTGGAACTCAAAATTTTAAAAACGAATGTTATAAATTTTTTTGTTATTGTAAAAGCTTTTGTTGTTTTAAAAGGGTTGTAAAAGCTTGACTTTGTGAGAGATGATCTCTGAGGATCTCTCAGGAGTGAAGGCTCCTCAAAGAGTTAATCGTTTCTCATTCTGTTGAAACATTTGCAGCCAGCTGACCTTGTAAAGAAACATGCTTTTCAACACATCCTGTACTTTACCAGACCTCCCCCCCCTTCCCAAACTGCTTACTCTTGCAAAAACTCCAGGAAGGATTGTTAAACTGTCTTTGTTCTCTGGTAATGGGGTAGATTGCCTCATAGATTGTGCTCTCAAGGCTTGCACCAATGAGCTGAGAGGAAGGGGGTTAGGGAGGAGGAGTTGCAGTTAGGGATCTATATGACCTTTCTTTGCCGAGCACACCCTTGGACTCTTCCTCCAGAGCCATTTTAGGCTGATGGAGGTTGCCCTTTCTAGAGAAAGCTAATAAAGAAATCTCTCTCTTTGCTACATCTGAGTCTCCAGAATTTATTGGTAAGGGTCTTCACGTCCCACACAACTTCAACAGGTGAGTAAGGGGAAGAAATACTTTGATATATGTACAGTTGGAAAAGATCTTAGAAGCCATGTAATCCAAAGCTCTCATTTTATAAATGAGGAAACTGAGACCCTGAAAGATTAAATGACTTACTCAAAGTCACATAGCACCTAGGTGGCCCCATTGATAGAATGCTGGGCCTGGAGTCAGGAAGACTTGAGTTCAGATCCAGCCTCAGGCACTTACTATCTGTATGACCCCGGGCAAATCATTTAACCTTGTTTGCCTCAGTTTCCTTATCAGTAAAATAAGCTGGAGAAGGAAATGACAAACCACTCCAGTATCTTTGCCAAGAAAACCCATGGACAGTGTGGTCCACGAAGTCACAAAGAGTTGGATAAGATTGAACAACAAAAGAGTCACACAAGTAGCAAATAGCAGAGTCAGGATTAAGACTCATCTCCTGTGACCCCCAACTTCAAGACTATTTCCACCCGACCTTGATGTCTCCTTAGGGAACATGTATGAGCAAAGTCTCAGATGTGGGAGTTCCATGATCTATTCCAGAGCAAAAAGTACACCAGTTTGGCCAGAGTGTAGAAAATGTAGAGGGTGATAATAACAAATAACTCTAGAAAGGTGGAGTGGCCCCATGTTTGGAATTCAAATGTGAATACTAAGCAAAGAAGTTTGAAATTGAGAGCTTGATCCATAAACTAGAGGTGATAATAAAATTTCCACTACCTATCTCATAGGGTTCTGAGGAAAGCACTTTGTAAATCTTAAAACATTGCAGCATATAATTGTAATTGTTAGGGACTGTACTTATTAAGTTGATATATATCCTTCGTCTCTAGAACAGTCTGTAGCCATTGTAGGTACTTAATAAATGTATTATAATTAAATAAAATGTCATGCAAATGATAAGTATGTTGTGGCAATACTGTGATATTAATGGCTTCGGATAGCAATTTTCTTCCAAAGACATAAAGTACTTTCTTCCTCCTCCATCTTTTCAGCATTGCTATCTTTTGTTTTTATATCACCTACATTTCCTAACACATTTCTTTCCCTTCCCCCTCCCGGAAATTCATCTCTTTGCAAATAATTTTAAAAAGAAAAAGAATCCAGCGAAATTATCCAACCCATCAACCACCTGTGATGTTAAATATAGTGTTTCCCACCCATAAGTTCCCATGCTGTGAAATTATAATGACCAAGCCTGACATCCAAGAGAATATGAGAATGTAGCTTCCTCCCCCTTCACCAATTTCATCATCAGTATATATCATATGTATCAACAGCATTACACACTGTGCTAGGGATAAGATAGCAAGCAAGGACTCTTACACAGTCAAAGCAAATAAGCATTCACTCATTTATTCATAAGCAGGCTGCAGCATATCACTAATAATTACTTGCCCAAAAGAAATGGCATAACAGATAACATCCAAAAAATAATATGATCAGTGGACTAGTCATGTAGTGAGAGTGAGAAATGACAGATGGATAGCCTGAGTGTTGCATGGGTACCCACAGAATATTAAAAGACCTAGACAGAGGAAGGCCTCTAATGCATTGGATAGATCCTCGGCTCAGTTGCTGTGGCAACTCAGAGAGACCCTCTTCTAAGGCACTGTATCTGTGGATCAAGGCAGACATGTATCCCTGAAGAACAGAAATAAATATTCTGCCCTCACCTAAGCTAGCTACAACCAGGTAATTAGTGTCTCCCATTAGATTAGCACAGGCATAGACATTTCAGAAAAGAGCATTAAGAAAACAAAAGACATTATTTATTTAATACATTTTCTTATGCTATTTAGGAAATAAAGATAATTGTTTAAGCAATAACACATAAATTTTCATATTCTATTTGCTTAAATGAGGCAGCCTGATATAGTAAAATTCTGAGTGTCCAAATCTTTAAGACTTATTAGCTATGTGACCCTGGACAAGTCATTTAACCTCTATGTATATCCCATGCAATTCTTTGTAGTTCAGTGAATAATTTACATAAGGCAGTTTACTCTACCTGGGTGAATTTCTCATTAGTCACTGATCCTTTCCTTTTCTATTTTATCAATATAAGATTTCAGAAATATAAAATTTCTTCTAAGGATTGTTTTAACAGCTTCTCAAAATTTCTGGTATGTCATTATCATTAACTTCAACATAATTATTGTTTCTATGATCTGTTCTTTGACTCAGGCATTATTCTGAACGTCATTACTTAGCCTTCATTTAGGTCTGTTTATTTTGTTCATCTTTCCTTGATTCATTATTAATTTTATTGCATTCAAGGGGCAACAAAGGCCCTGTGGATAGAGTGCTGGACCTGGAGTCAGGAAGACCTGAGTTCAAATGTGGCCTCAGACACTTACTGGCTGTGTGAAGGTTCTGTTTGTTATATTTGTCTTTTTGTATTTATTTGTTCTATCTGCCCAAGTGGAGAAACATCACCATGGTGACAACCATCAGAGATCATTCCAATACTCTACTTATGGCCCATGAAATATGACATAGAGAGCTAGTATTTAAAGTATTCTGAATGTCATTACTTAGCTTGTTTCTTTTGCTCATCTTTCCTCAATTTATTACTAATTTTATTGCTTATATCTGCCTTGTTACATTTATTTGTGCTATCGGCCTCAGTGGAAATATATTCCCATGCTGACATTCTCTGTCACTCTCCCTCCGTCCCCCAAACACACACACAGAGAAGTTAGCCTGCCTGTACTGATTTCTTATCTACTTATGTGGAAACTTAACTCTTTTCATTTCTCACACCTTGTTCCCTATGGTTACCAGAGAGTCAGCAAATTTCAATTCCTCAGCTTCTCCTCTCTGTGAAGAAGCCTCAACTCATCCAGGGATGGATAGTTTCAAGAATCGTTTGTTGTTCAGTTGTTTCACTTGTTTCTGACTCCCAATTACCCCATTTGGGGTTATCTTGACAAAGACATTGGAGTGGTTTGCCATTTCCTTCTCCAGCTCATTTTTTTTAACAGATGAAGAAACTGAGGAGAACAACGTTAAATGACTTGCCCAGGGTTACACAGCTAGTAAGTGCCTGAAGCCACCTTTGAACTCAGGTCTTCCAGACTCCAGGCACAACACTCTATCCACTGGACTACCTCGTTGCCCCTTGAAACTTAGAGCCTTATCAGAAAAATTTGCTGTAGATATTTTTTCCAGTTATATTATTTTTGTTGTGTAATCAAATCCATTTTATCTCTTGTTATCTTTATCCCCTATTTGGTCAAGAACTTCCCTATCTTCTTGATTTCAGGCCCAGCACTATTCACTACCATCACCTATTTGTCCCCATTTCAAGAATCTACCCAAATCAAAATGAACTGAGCCCTTATTCACTGACAAAACTATTCCTCCGTTATCTGAACCTGCTATTTCAATGAACACTAGTCACATAACTTTGACATAATGAAGCTGGTCCTCCATGGAAGCAGATATACATTTGAATATTGTATGCAGTAGATTTTTTTACCCTTTTGCATCACAGGTGGGTGTACAAGTTATACCAAAGGTGCCCAAATATACATACCCTAATATCTCAAAAAAATTAGTATTTTTTGTCTACCTTTTAAAATTTATATTTTGAAGTACAGTTTAGGTGTTTATTTTGAAAAATTAAGTTTAGTTAACTTTTAGTTTTTTTAGTTTTATGAATAGTACAATCATAATGACTTACTACCATTTATAGCAAAGAATCATGACAATAAAAGGATATTCATAGCAAACACATGGGTTGTATACAAAATATAGAAAGGCTATGTGCTTCAATGGAAAAGATACTAGATTGGAAGTCAGCGGACCTAGATTTGAATTCTGACCCTGCCACTTACTACTTGTATGACTTTGAGTAAAGCACTTAACATCTTTGAACCTCAGTTTCCTTATCTGTAAAATGAGGATATAGGACTAGATGAACTCTAAGGTCCCTTCCAGCTCTGTATCTATGATAATATAATAGCATATATTGCAATTGCATAAAAAAAAGCACATGGTATAATACCTATACTATAGTTATATCTACAATGGCTTTATTTAACCACTTCTGTCTTTCCTCCTAAAACATTAAAGAAATAAAAGGAGGTGGCCTAGTTAGGCCAGCAAAAAGAAAGAAACATTGAAATGTAAAGGGAAAATCCTGAAGATGAAAAAGAGACATTCCCTACCCAAGAAAGGGTGAAAGGGTTGAATACCTCAACTGCATATGAAGAAGTTAGAAAGAATTTGACTCCAGGGCACAGACTCCCTTCAAACCTTTGTCCTTAGCTTCTCAACTACATAACTGACTGAATTGAAATTAATCATTTTAAAGCAGAGGTACTTAATCAGGGGTACAGAAACCCCTTAGATTTTAGGGAGTCCTTATTAGATGAGAAAAAAATACATCTTTATTTCAATATAATTGGTTCCCTTTGTAATCCTATGTATTTTATCCATTTAAAAACATTTTCCAGAGAATAATAACAGTAATAATAGCTAACATTTATATAGTACTTACTATGTGCGAGACACTGTGCCAATTATTACCTCATTTATCCTCACAACAACCCTGCAAGGTAGATGTTATTATTATCCCCATTTTACAGATGAGGGTCATACAGCTAGTGTCTGAGTACAGATTTCAACTCCAGGTCCAGTGCCCTAACCATATGTCATCTAGCTGCCTCTACATTACAATTCTTTGTTTATACGTAATCCACATTATCTCTAACTATAGACCTTATGGGTAACGTTTGTTCCTTGGGTGTCTCCAAAACAAAAGTTATTAGTCTATAAACAGTCCACCCAGAGGTACACAGTTTTCCCCTCCTTTCTGAACAGACATCTTTCTGAAGCCAAGAAAGATTTGGTTGGCTTCTCTGAAGGTAGAAATATACAAATCCCATCTCATCTGAATCAGTCATCTGAGCTATCATTAAGACATAGAAGGCTCTAAGTAACTGGTAACTGGGCTCTTCTTAAGAGTCTGCTTGGCTATTACTCCATTTCTGCTTATCAGAAGTATGTAGTTCCAATGCATTCTCTTTGTGAGGCCCTGACCATTCTCTGGGACTGTTTTGGAGACAAATAAGTTTCCCAGCCTTTTGACCACTTGGTATGGAATGACTTTCCATCAATCTGTTACTCTGTGTGTCCCATGTGCACCAAGATTCCTTAGAAAAGATCTCATCTTTTTGCTGAAGATTAAACAGCAAACTCATGCATGACATTGTTTCTATCAGAGCTTTTCTGGGATGAGATTGAATATAGTTAGTAGTCCTCTTTCAGCTGAGAAATATACTGGTGTACATTCTTTTCACCTGCTGAGATTCCAAAGGACAGATCAATGCACAGGCATAGTTCTCACTAAGACATCAGGAGGTAGGCTATAAAGACTGTGACATCATTTTGGTAGTTTAGTTTCTACTCCTAAGGGTCAGGCAGGCTACATCTTCCCTCAGGGTTACATGGAGCCCTGAGGGCCTAGGATATCTTTTCTCTACTACCATTGACTAGAGCCTCTACCAGCTTTGCTCCCCATGTCTGCCCCAAGTTACTAATATCCCAGTTCCATATTTAACCGTTTAACACTTGACAACTTTTACAAAGGGATATTTACTTCAAAGGTAAAGCAAGAACAAACACACAAACATTTTTCCTAATACTTTGAGGGCACATACCATCTCAAAATTTTTGGAGAAGTGGAGGGAAGACTGAGGTTTTCCCTGGCCAAAATATAGCACCAGGCTTTGCTGCTGATTGATATGTATAATGTAACAGAGGACTGGCCCTCATGAGCATGCACAGAGTATCTCTGACAAAATTCCCTAATGAAAAAGGTTGGGAAGCTTGCTTCAGGGAAAGTTATCAGGAGGTGTCATTGGAAGTGCCTTAGGGAAAGTTGGGTGCATTTGCAGACATTCTATAACTGGGTCTGGACCATTTATCACATGATAAAGAACTTCTTTGACTGTCTGTGCCTGCTAAGCTGAACCGGAGGATGCTTTCCAAAAGTACTATTTGACCTACTATTCTCTTGGTTTGACTTGTTCTAGTCCTTGCTGTTCAGTCTTGTCTGATTCTTTGTGACCTTATTTAGGGTTCTCTTGGCAAAGATACCAGAGTGGTTTGCCATTTCCTTCTCCAGCTCATTTTACAGATGAGGAAACTGAGGCAAACAGGATTAAGTGACTTGTCCAGGGTCACACAGTAAGTGTCTGAGGCCAGATTTGAACTCAGAACTGACTGACTTTAGGCCTGGCACTCTATCCACTGAGCCCCCTAGCTGCCCACTTTTCCAGTCTAGTGACATTAAAGTGACAGATAAAGCTATAAAGGGAGCTGCTTTGGGCCTTCTCCATCTGAGGCTGACTTGTGGCCCAGTCAGTATGGACCTCAATTGTTTACTCCAGTATTTATTGTTTCATTTTAGGTAAAGGTAAGACCTTGTAGATTTTGAAAGGTCAAGAGAGTAGGCCACCCAAGGTCCTGCAGCTGGGAGTCAAGTCTCTGCCAGGTTTTGCCATCAACCCCACATCAATGCCTAAAGAACATGGAACAACTTTCCAGATTCAGTACGTTCGAAGTATGAGAGGAATATTTGTAGTTCTCTTGATGTATCTTCAAAGTAACTATCCCTTGTAATAGCTAATTAGTTAAATGAAACTGGGGTACGAGTTACTGAAGGCTAACAGTGGGCAGCCTCAAACAAATAGGAGTAGAGAAACAGTACTCCCTGGAGCCCTTAGGGTGAAAAGTAGCTAACCTTGCTGTATGACTGTGATGCCACAGAATACTCGCTATAATAAGAAAGACAAGACAGGAATTCTAGCTAAGTGGATAGAAAACCACTCAACTCCATCTAGGCCTGCTTCTCACTGAGCATGAAGGCTCTGCTGGAAGTATTGGGTATATCAATACTGTCAAACTCTGGGGAAACCCTGGGGTCCTTACCCTGCTCTGACCAGCAGTTTCTAACTGCCCCCCAAGAAAACCCACACATACCCTAGCAGTTTCCAACAGCCCCTGTTCCGGGAACACCTGGCAAAGCTAAACCAAGGACCTTTCTGTGACCTTGTTTTTCTAATTCCTCAATACTCCCTTCCTGCAGCTCATTTGTTCTGTGAACCCAGACTATACTGTGCTATTTCCCACGACTATGACTTATAAGAACCCCCTTCTTTCCTTCCTCCCCTGGCATCCCTGTCTGAATAGGGCAGTGTGTTGTCCCAAATTGTAATTCTCTGACCTTGAATAAATGCCTCATTTTATTTCCTGATCACAGAATTGGTCCGAGTTTTTCCAAGTTGACAATACACAGGACTATATTAGTAACTGGATTGAGATGCTTCTTTAGCCTTCTTTTTTGTTTTAAGTTGGATTCTTCTCAGAGTACCTTCTATCTATACTCTTTATGTTTCATATTTATTTATTAAATATTTCATATTTATTTATTTTGCTTACACATTGTCTTCCCCATTAAAAAAAATTCCTAGAGTTTTTGGATCGTGTTTTTACCCTTCTTTGTATCCCTAGCATTGAACAGTGTCAGGTTAAGCAATTAAATGCTTGCTGATTTGACTTACTTTCATTTGAACTCAAACCAGAGAGGATTTTGGGAGTAAGTCAGATTATCTGAATCCTATGATAAGTAGTTATTGTAAAAGAAGACTTTTATTTCTGCTTAGTCATAGGTGTTATAAAAAGAAAGAACTAATCTTAACCTTCCGGCTAAGATGTCTAGATTTTTTAACTGGGCGTGGAACTCTCAGCCTTTTATTTTCAAGGACAAGTTTTGGACACTATGCCCTGATTGAAACTTAATGTTGGTTGGTTGGTTGGTTGTTGTCCTTTGTTCTTGTTCTCAAAGAGGATCAAAATGACATCACTATGTTGGGATCAAGGTACAGTATGTCTGACTGTGGTTGATCAGACCAGTAGGAGCTTAGAAGGCTCTACCATAGGTTGGGCAAGAAATTGTCTGTATGAACATTTAGAGTGGAGATATCACTAAATTTGTATATCTCGCCTCTCTTTTGGGCTACTGAAATTTTGCCCTGCTCATAGAACATAGAACCTTCTTTGACGTGGGCACTGCATGCTAGTTGGTCTTTTGCCAGTGTCTTCCATGTCATGCAATTAATTCTAAAGTCTTTCAGAAAGACCTTCAGAGTGATCTTGTATCGCTTCTTTTGACCTTGTTGTGTGAGTTCTCCATAGAATAATCTTTTAGGCAAACATACTTTTGGCATTTGAACAGTGTGGCCAGCCCATTGGACTTGCACTCTCTTCAGTATTTGAATGGTTGGCAATTCAGAACTGAGAAAGGACCTCAAGTGTCTAGTACCTTATCTTACCAAGTGATCTTCAGAGTCTTCATAAAACAATTCAAATGGAAACGATTCAGTTTCCTGGCATGATACTGGTATACCGGTAAATTGCTTTGTGGACCTTTACTTTGGTAGTCAGTCTAATATCTTTTCTTTCCCACACTTTCTTTTGAAGCTCCCCAAACACCGAACTAGCTTTGGCAATGCATGTGTTAACCTAATCATCTACGTGTACATCCCTGGAAAGTATATTGCCATGGTAAGTGAATTTACCCACAGCATTCAATAGTTCTCCATTTGCTGTAACAGATGGTTCTGTGTATGGATGGTGTGGTGCTGGCTGGTAGAGAACCTATGTTTTCATGGTGTTATTTGTTAGGCCAAAATTAACACAACCAGCAGAGAATCAATCCATACTTTGTTGCATCTTGGCTTCAGAGGCTGCATAGAGTGCATAATTATCTGCTAACAAACAACCATGTACCAACTCTCTCTACACTTTAGTCTTGGCTTCTAGTTTTTTCAGGTTAAATAATTTACCATCAGTGCGGTAGCTGACCTTAATTCTGTTTTCATCCTTGTTGAAGGCATCTGACAACATTACTGAAAACATCATACTAAAAAGCATGGGAGCGAGCACAAAAGAAGAACATGCCAGCTAAGACTAAGAGACCATCACAGTCCAGTGGATCAATACATCAAACAGGCCCAGCAGTGATGCTGCAGCCAATAAAGAACAGGCCAAGAAGCAGCCATAACATTACCTGGCCCCTCCCTACATATTCCTCATATGTGAGTGTCATCCCCTCATTTGTGATTTCCTACGCGTACAAATTCTCCCCACTGATGGTGAGAGAAATGATTTATTAGACTCCTATTTTATTCTAATCAGTATTAATAATTTCAGTGTGATTCCATAGGGGTAATGATTGTTAGCAATCATTAGTGATATACTCGCCTAGTAAGTTACATTTACTCAGTTAACTAATATTAATATAAGAATAACATGTATTAATGCATATTTTACATATATCATATAGGGATAATTAGATAAGATAGATTCTTATAGTAGGCCTCAAACTTTAAAATCCATAAATTCACTGTTCACCACTTATTTACTAGTTAGGAAGTTTACTTGCCTAACCACAAGAATGCTGATGACCAAACCCAGCATAGGTGGGATATCTTGACCATGATATGGAATATCACTTGATTCCATGATACGAAATATCCCTCAATTTATTTTAGTACCTCTGGACTGTTCTCTCTTCCCCAACATGAGGAGGGGGACTAATATTATGACCAGTGGTCATATGGTCAGTGGAGATGACCCTTGCCTTGCCCATCCTGTGATCACTCATGCTGATCTATCATTTTTGGCCCTCCTGGAGGGTCAAAAGCAAGGTCTATCAACCAATGAGACTCTGTACTTTATTTTGCCTCTTCTGAGTGTCTGGGTATCAAGCCCTCTATAAGAAAGGCTGTAGGAACTAGTAGGCATCTCAGTTCCTGAGGAAACTCTGAGGTCACATTTGTTGAAGGGGTCTGGTCCCTTTAATAAATGGTTAATGGCACAGAGCTTTCTTGCAGACTGCATAATTTTGGACCCCACAATGGCATGTATATTTTGGGAGAGTATGCACTATGTGCATGGGGAAAATGGCCTGTTACAAATAGTCTTACTATGTTATTTCATTAAATGCCTTTGTTTTTTAACTAATTATGTCCTCTGAGTAGAGAAGAAGGAAACACATTGGTGAGTTCTTATAGACTATAAATTTGAGTAGATGTGGATCAAAAGAATGCCTTGGACCTGGGATAGCTATTATGGGAAACAAGTATGTAAGGAAAAGACAAGAGGTGGTGCAAACAAGTTTGTACAAATGGATTTTTAAAATTTTTTTCTCAAATGGGTTTTAAGTATTCACTACTTCCCTCATATTTCTTATAAATAACTGTGGTCATATTGGTCCAACATGATGTATTTCTTTATACCTAAAGTGTCCTTTCTGTTTTTCCGAAGTTAAACTTTTTTTTCTTTCCTTTCTTCTTTCTTTCTTTTTAATTTTTATCATGGAGCTTTGACAAAGGAATGTTTACTTTAAAAGATAATCACAAATTTGCAACACAAAATTGGGTTCATAGCTTAGCTGCATTCCCATGAGTACAGTCTCACCTCCAAGTCCAAAACCTACCTGGAGTGAATCCCAGATACCCTGGTTTTCTCAGGGTTTCCATGATGAGATTGCTGGCTGTTGCATCACCTGCTGGCAATACTGGCTCCAACGTCAGTCTCTGAGGCTTGAACTACCCAGTCTGTGACAATCACCTCTGGCACAAGAAATTGAGGACAAACAATAAAGAACAGAGGCAAACAAGCCCTGGCCCATTTCTTGGAGATGGGGTAAAAGAGAGGTAAGCTGTGGATTGACAAGTAGTTCCCCTCTTACCTGTTCAGTTCATGACATCCATTATGAATGAAGTAGCTAGGAGTACAGCTAAAAAGATGGTGGAAAGACAGTGAACCACACTGCTGCAGTACTTTTAAAAACTCAGACAACCAAGCAAGGAGACTACCCCTTCTAGGTGCAGTGAGCACCATGTCAGACAAACTGAACATGCTCAAAAGCCAGGTTACATCTATTTTTATTCAAAATTTAATAAATATCAGATAGAATGGACATCTGCATATACAAAGTGAAAATGAAAAAAGAGGATTGTCCATGAAATTGCATATCTTTATTGGTGAATTTGAGAATTTGTTCAAGTGATTGTTATCAATTTCAATTTCCTTTCTTAGAAATTACCTGTTTGCTGGAAAGACTTCATAAACTGAAGCAAGTAGAACCAGGAGAACATTATACATAGTAACAGCATCATTGTGCGATGACCAACTTTGATAGACTTAGCTCTTCTCAGCAATACAAGGATCTAAGACATTTCCAAAAGACTCATGATGGAACATGCTATTCACATCTAGAGAAAGAACTGTGAAGTTTGAATGCAGATCAAAACATGCTATTTTCTCTTCTTCTTTTTTTTTGTTTCTTCTTTCTCGTGTTTTTTTCCCTTTGGTTCTAATTCTTCTTTGCAACATGACTAATGTGGAAATATATTTAATATGATTATACATGGATAACTTATATCATATTGCATGCCATCTTGGGAAGGAAGGGGGAGAAAATTTAGAATTCAGAATCTTATAGAAGTGAATGTTGAAAACTAAAAACAAATAAATAAATAAAACTAAAAAAAAATAAATTATCTGTTTAGAAAACTGAAACTGAACTGGTATAATTATAATGATGAAGCTTGGCCTCAAAGAAGAGAGGAGAACATGCCCTCTTCTCAGTTTTATGCAAAGATGGAAGATTATGTGTGCAGAACAATACATATACATGTTATGCTTAGTTGAAGTATAGGTAAATTTTGATAAAAAAATTCTTTTCTTTTGCTCTTTTTTATTCTTTGTTATGAGGATTAGGTCTCTAAGGAGGGGGAGGACTGTTATTTTGGAAATGGTGATAGAAAACCACTATCAATAAAAATTAAAAAGAAAAGTGTTCATATCCTTTGATCATTTATCCATTGTGGAATGGAAATTATCACTGAAAATATGGAAAATTTAACAATTAGCTCTCCAGATGGTTTAAGCTGGCTCCAACACCCCCCCACCTAGGTGCTATAAATAATTTGACCAAGCTATTTTTTAAATTAATTTATTTTGAATTATCAACAGTCACTTCCATAAGCTTTTGAGTTTAAAATTTTTCTCCCTCTCTCTTCCCACCTCCCTCTCCAGGATGGCACACAATCTGATATAGGCTATGTATATATACATTCCTATTAAACTTATTTTCACATTAGTGATGTTGTAAGTAAGAATTAGAACCAATAGGAGGAACCACCAGAAAGAGGAAACAAAACTCAACAGAAGAAAAAAAATAGCAAATAGTATGCTTCGATCTGCATTCAAACTCCATAGTTCTTTCTTCCTTGTGGGTAGCATTTTCCATCACGAGGCCTTTGCAGGTGTCTTAGATCCTTGTATTGCTGAAAAGGGTTAAGTTTATCAATATTAGTCATCACACAACGTGGCTGTTATTGTGTACACTGTTCTCCTGGTTCTGCTCACTTCACTCAGCATCAGACCATACAAGTCTTTCTAGGTTTTTCTGAAGTCAGCCTGTTCATCATTTCTTATACCACAATAGTATTCCATCACATTCATATACCACAACTTGTTCAGCCATTCCCCAATTGATGGGTATCCTCTCAATTTCCAATTTTTTGGCACCACAAAAAGAGCTGCTATAAATATTTTTGTACATGTGGGTCCTTTTCCCATTTGTATTATCCCTTTGGGATACAGCCCTGGAAGTGCTATTGCTGGGTCAAAGGGTATGCATATTTTTATAGCCCTTTGGGCATAGTTCCAAATTGCTCTCCAAAATGGTTGAATCATTTCACAACTCCACCAACAATACATTAGGGTTCCAATTTTCCCACATCTTCTCCAACATTGATCATTTTTCTGTTTTGTCATGTTGGCCAGTCGGATAGGTATGATGTGGTACCTCAGAGTTGTTTTGATTTACATTTCTCTAATCAATAGTGATTTAGAGCATTTTTTCATATGACTATAGATAGCTTTAATTTCTTCATCTGAGAACTGCCTGTTCATATCCTTTGACCATTTATCAATTGGGGAATGGCTTATAGCCTTATAAATTTGACTTAATTCTCTATATATTTTAGAAATGAGGCCCTTATCTGAGAGGCTGGTTGTAAAATTCTTTCCCAATTTTCTACCTTCCTTCTAATCTTGGTTGCATTGGCTTTGTGCAAAAACTCTTCAATTTAATGTAATCAAAGTTATCCATTTTGCATTTCATAATGTTCTCTATCTCCTGTTTGGTTATGAATTCTTCTGTTCTCCATAAATATGACAAGTAAACTATTCCTTGCTCTCCCAGTTTGCTTACAGTATCAGCCTTTATATCTATATCATGAACCCATTTTGACTTTATTTTGGTATATGGTGTGAGATTTGCCATACTCTTTTCCAGTTTTCCCAGCAGTTTTTGTCAAAGAGTGGGTTCTTATCCCGGAAGCTGAGGTCTTTGGGTTTATCAAATAATAGATTACTATAGTCACTGACTACTGTGTCTTGCATACTTAACCTATTCCACTGATTCACCACTCTATTTCTTAGCCAATACCAAGCAGTTTTGATGATTGCTGTTTTATAATACAATTTAAGATCTGGAATGGCTAGGCCACCTTCCCCTGCATGTCTTTTCATTAGTTCCCTTGATATTCTGGACCTTTTGTTATTCCAAATGAATCTTGTTATTATGACCAATGCTATTTTTAAAAATTATACTGTTTTTCTTGTAGAAATTTAAATATTTCTTATAGTCAGGCACATCTGTCTTATCCTTAATAATTTCTTTTATTTGTTGAATGGGAAAATTCATATTCCATTCACAATTGAGATAAATATTTAATTTCATTTTCTTCCAACATTTTTATAATGTTATTTTCTTTGTTCTTAGATGTTTAAGTCTGCCATCCAGCTATAATTCACTAGAGTTTACAATGTAAGATGTGGGAAATTGTTTTTCCAATAGATTTCCAACCAATTTTCCTAAATATCTTTGTTAAATAATGAATCATTTACCCAAGTTTTATTTTGCAAAGATTTATCAAATACAAATGATTTGTATATATTTGGTTGGATGTCTGTTGGGTTTATTGTATTCCACTGACCTATTTCTGTTTGTTTGTTTTTTTCCCCATGAGTTCCTAGTCATTTTGTTATTAATCACATTAAAATATATTTCAAAATCTGAAAGTGCAAGACCACTTTTATCAACTTTTCTCTTTAGTTTGCTCTGTGCTATTCTTGCCAGTTTATTTTTCTATGTAAATTTCATTGTGATTTTTATCTAGTTCTTTTTTTTAAATAGTATTTTATTTTTCTAATTATATGTAAAGACAGATTTTAACATTCATTTAAAAGTTTTGAATTCCAAATTTTCTCCCTTCCCCTTACCTCCCTTCTCCCTAAGATGGTTAACAATTTGATATAGGTTATATATGTGCAATCATGTAAAACATATTTCCATATTAGTCATGTTGTGAAAGAAGAAACAGACCAAAAGAAAAAAAATGAAAAAAATAAAGGAAGTGAAACTAGTGATCTACATTCAGACTCCATCAGTTCTTTCTCTGGATGTGAATGACAATTTTCCTCATGAGACCTTTGGAATTGTCTTGGATCATCATATTGCTGAGAATAGCTAAGTCACTTAGTTGATCACCATACATCATTGCTGTTACTTTGTACAATGTTCTCCAGCTCAGTTCACTTTGCATCAGTTCATCTGAGTCTTTCTGAAAAATTTTCCCCCTCTCCAAGACAGCATGTAATCTGATATAGGCTATATATGCACAATTATATTAAACCTATTTCCATATTAGTCATATTGTGAAAGAAGAATCAGAACAAAAGGGAAAAACCATAAGAAAGACATAAAAAGAGAAAATAGTATGCTTCAATATGCATTCAGACTCCATAGTTCTTTCTCTGGATGGGGATAATATTTTCCATCATGAGTCTTTTGGAATTGTCTTAGATCATTGTATTGCTGAGAAGAGCTAAGTCTATCAAAGCTGATCCTCACAGTGTTGCAATTACTGTGTACAATGTTCTCTTGGTTCTGCTCACTTCAATCAGCATCAGTTCATGTCTTTTTAAGTTTTTCTAAAATCTGACTGCTCATCATTTCTTATAGTACAATAATATTCCATTGCATTCATATACCACAACTTGTTCAGCCATTCCCCAATTGATGGGCATCCCCTCAGGTTCCAAGTCTTTGCCATCTCAAAAAAGAGCTGCTATAAATATTTTTGTACAAGTAGGTCGTTTTCCTTTTTTCGTTTTCCTTTTTTTTTTTTTAAGTCTCTTTTTATTTCTTGTGACAGAGATGATTCCCACATACTGATATTGCTAAGTCAAAGGGATTGCCCTTTAGGCATAGTTCCAAATTGTTCTCTGGAATGTTTGGATCAGTTCACAACTCCACTAACAATGTATTAGTGTCCCAGTTTTCCCACATCCCCTCCAAAATTTATCATTTTCCATTTCTGTCATACTAACCAATCTGATAGATGTGAGGTGGTACCTCAGAGTTGTTTTAATTTGCATTTCTTTAAACAGTAGTGAGTTAGAGCATTTTTTTCATATGATTATAGATTTGATTTCTTCATCTGGAAACTGCCTGTTCATATCCTTTGACCATTTATCAATTGGTGAATAACTTGTATTCTTATAAATTTGATTCAGTTCTCTATGTATTTGAGAAATAAGGCAAATCAGAGACATTTGCTGTAAAAAGATTTTTATCTAGTTTTATAAGAAATCCTTTGGTATTTTAAATGGTATAATAACAGTAGGCATATCTAATTAAAGAAGCATTGTCCTTTTTGCTATATTACTTTGATCCATTCAGGAACATTAAGTATATCTCCTGTTACATAGGTCTTCCTTTATTTTGATCATTGTATTTCTTGTTTTTAAATTAAGTAAATTATTTTCAGTTAGTGAAAATCTACTTTATTCCCCTTCTATTCCCCCTCCCATTGAAAAAGAAATAAAAACAAAACCCATAACAAAATGTATCATCAAGCAAAACAAATTTATGCATTAGTCATGTACAAAAAAAGTGTCAAGAGTTTTCTTTTAAAATATGTAGGGTTTTTTTGGTCATTAATTAGTTCGTTTTTTTGGTCTTCAGTTTTCTCCTTTGCAAGGACTACATGGTCTAAGAGGTTTGTCCCTTTCAGCTCTAGCCCTATGATTCTATAATCTTAAAGCTATTTTCCATGT